AGGTTCTTCAGGGTTAAGGTAAACCCTAAACCCTAAACTCCTTAAGCCCTTTTTTGGACTCGGTGGCTCAGCCCCTCAGTTTCGGAAACTTCCATCGACTTGTGGCAGCCTGGAAGTGTCAAGCTGCCACTCCTTTCAGCGAACGGTCTGCGCTGTGAAGGCAAGCGAAAAGGGCGTCCTTCATAGAGAGACTATAGGGTCTTTTTCGGAGTTCCTTTCAGGATTTCTGCATGGTTTGAATAAGAGCTTCCTATCGGGGTCTTCACGATTGGGCTGGGGCTGGCGGGGATATCATACCATACTATAGCCATTCCTGGACTCCAAGGAGATTTCAGTTCCAAGCCGAAAATTACTTGGAGGGGCAGGGGACTTAGTAAGTAGGTTATAAGTAGAGTTATAAGCCCCCTAAATGGAGTCACCCTACTTATAACCCTACTTATACACGACTTACTAAGTCCCCTGCCCCTCCAAGCAGGATGGGAAACAGCAAAGCTGCCGAACAGGATCCGGCTTCACGATGTCTGCGGAGCCTGAGGCTTAGCGGCTCGCACAGGTCCACTCAGACTTAGTAGCAGGGTTTAGGTTTTATAAGATTCGTTTAGGGGTTTTAGTGTTTTGGGGGTTTGGGGCTTAATGGCTCGCATAGGGATCTCTACAGGGACTGAGGGGTTGCAGGAGTGTCGGATTGGAAGTGCTAGCGGGGCCTCAGGTTTTAGTTGGGCGGTGGGGGTCCCCACTAAGCCGGAGAAACGCAAACCCCCTTACTCTGCTTAACCCTAAAACCTTGAACCTCAACCATCGTTGTTTTGAAACAGGTTCTTGGAGCTAGGGTTCCTACAGTGATTTAGATTTAATGCCAACCTCAATGATATCCCTACCCATAACTGCGTTACTAAGTCCTCAGGGCCTCCAAGTATACCATAAACCCGGGAGATTCAGAGTTGGGGAAACGCCGGGAGTTGCTAACCCAGAGAGCCCAATACCCCTTAATTAAGCAATATACCTTAAAATATAATGGGTTTCATATTATGATTTAAACTCTATTCCTTAGTTAAGGGGTACACAGAGACTCCAATATCCCTTAATCAAGGAATAGTCCGTAAATCATATTGAGGATCCCTAATATGATTTAAGGAATATTCCTTAATTGAAACGCTGCGTGTCGTCCGCCTCGGCCCGGCTGTACGCGAGCCCCAACACATAAAGATGCTACATTGCATCCCGTGTCGTCGAAAACTCCAGAAAGCTCGCACCTGTCAGCGAGCGGAGGAGGGGCGGGAGGGAAGGGGGGAGGGGGGGGGGGAGGGGTGCCTTGGACGCTTGGCGTCCATTTGACGCAATAGTGTTTTCTTATATAAATCCCAAAGTTGCCACCTTCCAAACCTTTGAGCGTGGCCTTCTGAATCCAGCTAATATAATAAAAAACACGTGGGGAGGCAAAGCGCCGTGCTTCTGAATCCCACCAGTACTTGGGCGAAAATATGTTTGGACGCGCCAGTACGTGGGAGAAAGCATTCTGGTCGCGGTCCCAAATCCGTGGAAAGCCATGCAGGCCGTGGTCCAAAACCCTTCAGGATTTTGGCAGGAACCGAAGCTGAACGACTCCTGCCGGCAAAGCCTGCAGGTCGCGGCTTGTTTCATATTTTTTGGGTAGTTTTCTTCGTTTGCTAGGCTTCCTGTAGGGACCGAGTGCTGCTGCCGCAGTCGTTGAGACCCGCCCACGCCAAAAAACAACTACGTGCGAGCAGACGCTGGGGGACATGGCTCAAGGTAGGTTGCATCTGTGAAGAGATCAGCATCACTAAATTCAAGAGTTCTGAGATGCGACGCGCAAAAAATGTTGGCAGGGCCAGCAAACTTCGCGGAACCAAAATTGCAGAATCGATTTTGACTTATCAGGACTTCACAAGCTCATTCTGGGACGCCACTTCGACAGCTACGTTTTCAAGCCCCAAGTATTGTTTCAAGAAGTGGGCGCTGAGCCCTTACATGCAGCAGCGACGCTACTTTACATGTGGCTTCACTGTACTAGTAGTTGAGTTGCGCGATGGAACTCAGAATGCACGTCGTTCTTACTATGGTGACCTCGAATTATAAAGCATACACATGTGCATACATGTGGGCAAAATAGATGCAGTGAATACTTACCGGTCTAATATATAGGATCGCTTTGCTTATAAGTGGTTGGTGGGCTTACTAAGTGGATGATGGACTTATGTTGGACTTATAAAGGTGAAGACCAACTGACTTACCAGAGCACGGGCTGCGTGAGTTAAGGTCAACTTATTGTGGGGTTATTAAGTGGGATATATCGGGTGGATGTAAATATGTGGTATGAGTCACTTAGGGTTGCACTTATACATAAGTAGGGTAAGTAGGACTTACAAGACTTACATAAGAAGGAGAAGGGCACACACGTCAGTAGGTTAAGTGCACTTACATAAGTAAGTGAAGATAAATCCATATCCGTAAGTAGGCTAAGTAGCTTGAGTGGGCTCCAGAACAGCGCGCTGATCCTACTTATCGGACTTATAATATAGCCATGACGCAGCGGAACCCACTTAGCGGACTTAGCCGGTAACCCACTTAGCCTACTTACTCGGAGGCCACGTCGCTGGACCTATCTCCCACTTAGCACCCTACTTATAACTGAATTACAACTCAACACGACGTCGATCACAACTAAGGTTGATTGATAAGCACCTCAAGTACAACATAAATCCATGATCTGGTTATCGCAATTATAATTTAAGTACACTAATGTTGAAGCAGTTATATATCAACAACAAAACATCGTCGGACTATGGTCCATTGAAAGCATTTGGAGGTGTGGTTACCTAACTCATAGTTCATGTTACTGGACTTCATTAGTTACTTAGTAACCAGAGCACAGATCATGCAATAGCTTTAATCTATACGCATTATAAACCATGCACGCCATTATATGATTGGGCCATGGATGCTGTGAACTCACAACACATCAAACATGCACGTCAATGTGAGGCTGGGTCATGCATGCTGTGAACGCATGCTATGATTATAAACCATGCGCATCAGAGCGTGTGCGTCATGCATTCTAAATGGATGGGCCATGGATACTGCATGCGCCCTCGCAGATCTCAGGGCCCTCCGCGCCCTCAGCGCCCTCGCGCCTCAGCGCCCTCAGCGCCCTCAGCGCGCTCCGCGCCCTCAGCGCCCTCAGCGCCCTCCGCTCAGCGCCCTCCGCGCCCTCCGCGCCCTCAGCACCCTCAGCGCCCTCGCGCCCTCCGCGCCCTCCGCGCCCTCAGCGCCCTCAGCGCCCTCAGCGCGCTCCGCGCCCTCAGCGCCCTCCGCGCCCTCAGCGCCCTCAGCGCCCTCCGCTCCGCCCTCAGCCCTCAGCGCGCTGCGCACCCTCAGCACCATCCGCGCCCTCCGCGCCCTCAGCGCCCTCCGCCCCTCCCCTCAGCCTTCCGCGCCCTCCGCGCCCTCAGCGCCCTCGCGCCCTCCGCGCCGCGCCCTCCGCGCCCTCAGCGCGCCCTCCGCGCCCTCCGCGCCTTCAGCGCCCTCAGCGCCCTCCGCGCCCTCCGCGCCCTCAGCGCCCGCACTTGGATCGTCGGGGCCGGTTGTATTCAAATAGACCACATGGCCAACAAAGTAAGTAAACTTACAAGTCGACCAAGTGAGCTTACATCTGGTCTAAGTGATGGTATAATTGGCTTGCATATAGTGTAAGCTGGTTGGGTAGGTTAGTAAGTAAAAAGGTCCGAGTTGTATGTATCGGTATACAGATAGTCCAGATACAGTGTATTTAGTTATCTACTTAGATCGCTTATGACACAAGTGGCTAAGCCAACTTAGGCAACTTGGGAGTATGTGAACTAAACCAGATATAATTGGTTATAGGTGATATGCTTGCAGCGGTGTTGCGATGGTTTTGCTAAGTCCACTTAGCTCACTTAGGGCTGGGCCACGGTCATTGAAAAAGTAGGATTTTTCGCTAATGTCGTATGCCCCAAAGTTGTAATTTTTTGTTTCAAGGCATGATGCAAGAAAGGTTTTGCGATATTTTTTGCTAGCCGGGAGGCGACCTGAATCTCTTCTTTGGTGTTTTGGGGAAAGGTCTGTTAATGGAAACTTGAAATATTCATTGCCACAGGAACTTCTCGAGAAACAACACATCATATGCAAGCAAAGTGCAAAGCAACAACAAACTTCAAAACCCAAACATGCCCACCCTGCACCCGAAACTCTTCCTTCCCTCCTGCCTTGGCTTCTGGGCCGCCTGCGGCTGCCTGTGCGGGAGCAGGCGGGCTCTTTTTTCGAAGGGTTTTGGGGCGGGTCTGGGTTTGGTCGGAAGTTAGGCGGGGGCCGTCTTTGTTTTTGTTGGTTGCAGTTCATACAAACAACAATCACCATTAACACAAGTATGCTGGAGCAGGTGGAAATTCAGCAACATACTCACATGTCTTTGAATAAAGACCGTTTATGAATATAAGTATATATCTATCTGTACATCTATACTTATACATATGTATATGTATATAAATATATACATATGTGTACATATATATTTACACACAGACATGCAGGGCACGAAGGAACAAACATTCATGCATATACATTGTACACACCTACATGCACACGAAGACACAACTTTTAAAAGACGTGTCCACGTATACGTGTATACACACATGCATGGTGTTGCAGGGCTGTGGGTTGAAGGATTTTCGGTGTGTAGTTTTTTCTTGCCCTTCTCGGTGGCTGGATTGTGAAAGGCTGTGCTCTGTGTCTGTGTATACATACGGCCCTTGGTTTAAGTTTTACCTGTGTGGTATGTTTTTGTTGGCTCTCTGCTTTCGTTGGCTCGTTTGGCTTCGGAACAACGGATTGGAGATTCTTTTTCAGCATATCCATTGTATATCTGCCCACATGCATGACTTCGCAGGGTATAAACTCGCGAAGTGGAGTCAGCAGGGCGAAGGCTCGCAGACTCTGATCTATAGGGCATTCCAATTGTCACCATGTCGTTGTCGGAAGCACAGCGGCTGATGATCAGTGCTTACCTGCAATCGGCAGAGCAAGGCAAACTCGTCCAGACAGTGGATGCTTTGCACGACTACCTACTCCAGGAGGGCCTTGCCTGGAAACAGGTGCTGCGATGCGATTGCATAGGTGTGCACGAAGAGAATCGAGATGGTTTAGGGCTGTCGGCGGGACATGTTGCTGACCTTGTGTCGAACATCTCCAGCATCGGATTCTCGGCGGCCGAGTTTCGAGGAGTGGCTATCGAAATTCCACCAACCGCAGAAGGAGAGGCACTTCGAAGCTTCAACCGCAAGGTCACCGAGGAGAGCAATGGGAGACTGGCTCCTGCAAACAACTTGCGATTTGCAAGCATTGTAGGTTCGCACGCGAACCAGGCGGCGAGATGTTTCTGGTTCCAAGTTCCCCATTCCGACGACAAGCTCACAGTCGACAATCGCCTTTCTCTTGAAAAATTGAAGGTCGTGGATGCCAGTTGGCATCGTGCCATCATGGAGGGCATGCAATGGTTGATTATCTCGCATGCCGTGCCTGCTGAATTCCAGCAGTACACAGGCCTCGCCCAAGCAGCGGGCAACTCTGCCATGCAGATAGCATCGGCAGAAGGAGAAGTGCAGCTGGCCAGGAAGGTTAATGTGGCCATGGCTAAGTTCTTGAAGCGAACATCGAAATCAACCGTGAACTACGGAGACATCTCTCAGGAGATCCTCCGAAGCAAACCGCCCAATGCTTCATGCCTGCCACACATCTTCTCATTCGTCTTGAAGTGTGGTGGTGGTTCGGGCGAGGAGAGTTTCCTCTCGAGGACAGAACGGTATGTTCGTGCTTCGGGCCGTTCGAATCGAGCCCTCGGTGGCGACATTTGGCATGCACTTTCGCAGGACTGTAAAGGCAGCGAGCAGCACGTGCCATTTAGGCACATGCTGATCAAGCTGGGCCTCTGCGGCCCCGAGAAAGCCATCACCTTGACAGACTGCAAGCGAGCTCTGTCAGCGAAGGAGGTACTGGCCAATGTTGGCAAAGCCGAAGCCGTGCTTGTCGAGGTGCAGCGGCTGCTGCAAGGCATCGCCAACGTGGAGTCGGTGTTGGGGGATCTCGAGGTTGAGCTGGCCGCCATTGTGCTCCAGAAGAAGAAGATTGCCAAACACGAGAGCATCGAGGATGCTGCCGGGACGTTCCTTGAAAAGTGCGGTGTCTCCTCGCCCTGGGCGGGCAGCAGTGCACCCGCGAAGAGTTCGGATTCCTCAGCCCAGGTTGGTCGTGGCTCGTGGCTGGATCTGTGTATGCATGGTAATTATATACGATGTACATCTTTGGGTTTTGTAGGTGTAGAGGGGTTTTGTCGGCGCTTTTGTATTTTTTAGGACTTTGCGGCTCTACGACGACACAGGGAAGCTTCTATCCAACTCGCGAGTCGTGGACCTGGGGTTTCAGCCCGGGAAGGAAGTGATCCGAAAGGCCGACGACGTGAAGGGCACCATCATCGAGATTACCGCCGACAAAGTTCGTCTCAAGCTGACCAATGGCAAGGAATACGAGGCATCCTCACAATCTTTCGTGGACAACAAGTGGAAGATCTTCGTGCCCAAGGTGGACCCCGTGTTATTCAAGGAATGGACCAAGTATGGCCCTTTGAGAAGTGAAGAATTTGTCATCTCAGTGATCAAGGGCCTGGCTTACCGGTGTATGTACGACCAGTACGAGTCGTTGAAGGTGGATGACCTTGACGTGTTCTTAAAACCGAGCAAGGACGTGCAGGTGAAGAAGAGCTACAACACGAACATCTTGAAGCTCCCCATCGCCACGGCCAGAGTTCATGTTGGTGAGACGGTGCCCGCCGGAGCAGTGCAGTTGGCTGTGTTGGCTGCAGGAGCAAGCAGCAAAGTGACCCAGGTGATGTCCATGCAGGGTTATTTCCAAGGTCCCAAGACAGACTCCTCCCAGGGCTTCATCAATCCAGTATGGCTGATGAAGAGCACAACGGATCGGAATGAGGCCAACATGGAGCTGCACTGGACGAGCAAGGCCGCCAGCAGCCAAAAGTTGACGTGCAAATCCGCCTCCATGGTTCTCCCGATTGTCCGCAATTTTGTCAAGCTCGATGCAGGCGATAGCTTGGTGCTATGGAGGCCCGAGATGGGCAAAACCGAAACGATCGAGACTCTGCAGCCCGTGACCAAGAAGGCCCGAAAGTAAGTGCTCCATCCAGGGCAGTTTTGATTCGTGTGCTAGAAGGACCCTCAAAGCCATTCGTGCGGCAGAAAGCCCATGCTCCCATTCGTGCGGCAGAAGCCCCCTAATCCCATGATGTGATGCAGCTCCTGTGCGATCGGTTTAAAACAAGGATGTGCCGGAGAGAGTCACTGCATTGAAGCATCATGTGATTACAGTGACACCGACGTATTTGTGTCCTGGTGCACTTCCTTGCGGGAAGCTATACTGCTTGCATGCATGCCGTTTGCAGCCGTTCAGCCCACGACTTCAACGTGCACCCCGAGGCTTGCAGGGCTTTGCTCGCAGCCTAAATTGCAGCAGGGCCATAGCTCGCTGCAAACACAGCATGTCCGACGAGGAGATGCCTCTCGTGGGGGGAGAGGAAGAGGAGCAAGAAAAGCCTTTGAAGATGTTCACCGCCACATGCATCTCGGGCGGGAGCATCAAAGGTGTCTGGATGCCGGACGCCAAACTTATCGGCGGCTTCACCTTCATAAAGTCATAAAGCTTACGAAGTGGTGTAGGTTCCTCACCCAGTACGTGACGGGCAAGGCCCTGAACCTTCACCAAAAGCGCCCCGTGAACAGCATCAGTGTGCAGTGGTTTCAGGAGATGTCGGAACTTCGACGACAAGCCTGTAACGAGGCCCTGAAAAGGGTAATACTTCAGGCAGCTGAAGCCGAAGGCTCGGAGCGACCGGAGAAGATTCGGCCTGCACGGCAGGAAGACGAGTTCATCGCTGGGAGAACCGTGATGGTGACTCCACCGGCTCTCGAGGGCTCCGAGGATGAGGTCGTTGCTCCTGAGCAAGTTCGGCTCTTATGGATGGTGAAATCGACTGACATTTGGATTGAGCTCACGATTGAAAATATGGAGTACGTGAAGAAAGCGATTCTTCAGTCGCCGGCTTGGGAACAGCCGGTTGGAAAACGGGCCAAGGCCAAGCCGACGGGCAGCCCGAGGAAGAGGAAACACCGTGGTCGGAAGCCCAGGCCACTTGCTGTGCACGAGCAGGAGGCAAAGGACTCGGAGGCTTCAGAGCATGCCGTGGAGGACGAGAAGCAGGAGCACGTGCAGGAGGACTGAGGATAGATCCAAACTTCCACTCAGGAAAGACCTGTGTTTGTGTGTGTGTGCACCGGTGGTTGCAATTTGACTTTGTAGGGTAGAAGCTGAAGTACAGGAAGGTTTTACAGTATGTACCTGTTACACATATCTCAATGACAAGTTCCATTTGGGTATATATTGTCCACAAACTTGAAAACAACAGCATTCTATGTATCTTATAGTTCCTATAGTAGTCCTTTAGTATTGCAGGGCAGGACGGCCAGGGTGGCAATGTGCACCGAAGCATGCAGCAACCTTGATATAGTTGTACAGCTCGAAGCAGGATGAAGTTTTCCTTTGAAAATCTGCCGTGCCTGCATTCACGACATTCTGTGTGCCGTGAGGGATGTCGCTACAATCTTTGATGCTTGTGTGGATGCAACCCACCCTATCATCATGGACCGTGGACATTGCATGGGTGCATGCATGTTTGTTTAAGTTTTAAATCAGGGCTTATTGGGTTTAAGGCGTCTAGCGTTTTAGGGTTTGGGGTATATATACAGGGTATATATCCATTAGCTATGTTACTTTAAACATGTTGTTCATGTCCTATATATGCACACCATGCACCCTTTGCAGTTGTACGTATACTTTATGTGTGTATATATAGATACACACATACATGTCTGTCTATACATGAAAACACATACATGTGTGTATACATGTGCATATATGTATATATAATGTACATACACACATGCATATGCATATATATGTATTCTCCTATGTATGTCTATATACTTATATGTATATATATACACACGGGCTTCTCACATATGTAGTTCTCTATGGACATGGATCTGAAACAATTATGTTATGTAAGTGCATACACAATTTTTGTTTGCATGTCTACATATATACACATACATACGTACATACTCGCTCATTCACTCGCTCGCTCTCTTTCCTTCGCTCACTCTCCCTCCCTCTCTCGCGATCTCGCCCTCAGTCTTTTATGCACAGTCTCAAATGCTGTGTTCTGCAAAGCTTTGCTGGCAGGGAGTGCAGTTTGCAACATGCAGGTAGCAGTGCATGTGCCGGATGCAGTGCATGACAGTTGATGCTTGTGCAGTTCGCTTTCATGTGGCTTCTGCTGCTCAGATCGTTTGTTGTGGATATAGGGTCCTGACAGCTCCTTTTGCGAAGTGTGCGAACTCTGATGGCGACGGGCCACTTGCCGGAGAACGTTCCGGAGGCCTCGATGGAGGAGTTCGATGATGGCTACGGTGTCGAGACTGCGAACTGGTTGGAGGAGCCGCTGATCGATGCCAAGGAGGAGTCCGACACCGGTGCAGGCGTCGACAAGTCCGACTGGTGGAAGTGGGAGGACGATGGTGCTTGCAAGACCGAGTGGAAGTGGGAGGACGATGGTGGTTGCAAGACCGAGTGGAAGTGGGAGGAGGATGATGCTGCGAAATCCGAGGTGAAGTGGGACGGCGGCAAGATGGAGTGGAAGGGCGGTGGCGGCTGCGGCTTCAAGTATAAGCCGGCTGCCTTTCCGTGGCACCAGCCGTACAAGCCGTGCAAGAACCGTGGTGGTGGCTGCAGCTCGGGCTCCTCGTCTTCCGGCAACGGCTACGTGAAGAATGGCTTCATGAAGCACGGTGTCTTGCAACCGTGCCTTGATCTTGCTTGGCATCTTTGTTTTACCGATTGCACGTGCTACCGGGATATAGAAATAGAAACCCAGCCCCGTTTAAGCCCCATATCATAGGACCGTATATTTGCATTGTGCAGTATTACTTACGTACATGTACGTAGATTCTCAAAGCACCATTATACATATAGACATGAAAACATACTATGTACCTATATATATACATACATCTAGTAGGTTATATATATATATATATATATATATTCATGTAACTCTGTACTGACATACCTATCTGTATATATATATATATATATATGTATTATTCCTTTTTTGGTACATTGAGATATATAGATATGTAGATATCTATTTATAAGGGTTTTTAGATCTATGGGTATGTAGATATATTGACATATACAGATATCGACACATAAGTATAGGTGTTTATGTGTATATATGTATTTAAATATATGGATATAATTCCATGAAGGATGGTTGGCCCTGTAGCACTATTCAATTCCAATCATGATGAAATACATGCTTTCGCTCTAGAGGCCTGGCCATGGACGTGATCGCGATCGTGTGAGGGCCGGCCGGAAGGAGCAGCACAAACGTCATGTGCAGCAGCAGGCACACGTCGCTGATATGCGTGAAGCCATGAGTGCCATGCACACAATGGCCCGTGTGCTCGAGAAGACCATGCATTGAGATTCAGGGAAAGTTCGGGTCATAGAAATGTGTGTAATGTTGCTGTGCACAGAAAGCCTGTATATGCAAGGCTTGTTTCGACTTTGGGTTTTGCTGCTGTAGTCTATATGCATGGGTTAGAAGCTGCCCCCACCCTGTAATAGTGGTATAAGAGGAATATAATAGGGCCCTATTATAATAGAATCCTTATAGTATCCTTATGGTCACTATCACAGGGTGGTGGCAGCTTCTATAATGCATGGGGCACAATCTAGCTTAGCGGATTTCCCTGAAGCACTCTTCGCAAAGAAGGCCTTCTGCAAAGGTGGACAGTCTTGAGGGCGAGGCCACACGGACAGTCATGCAGGCAAGGGACTTGCACGAGCAGACATACATACTTCTAGCAAAGTGTGACCTTTGCCCGAGGTAATCGGCTTGCCTGGGTTCACCCGTCTGCACGGTGTCAGGTCTCGGCAGCAGACACGTGTGCATGTGTGTGCATACATGAACATGTACAATCAATAACGTGGACCTGTGCCCAGGACCCCTATATAGGTCTAGTTGACACAACCCAGAAAATGCAGAGGTAATCCCCGGCCCATGTATATATCTACTCTAAATGTATACAACCCCATAGAAACCCTAAGGCAATCCCCGGCCCCTGTATATATCTTCTTGAAATGTATACAACCCCATAGAAACCCTAAGGCAATCCCCGGCCCCTGTATATATCTTCTTTAAATGTATACGACCCCATAGAAACCCTATACCTTGAACCCTAAGCCCTATACTGTTACTTCGTCGGTGCATGTGCACAACACAGCTTCGGCACAACATACTGCATGTCCATGAGGAAGAGCTGCCGAGGCTATGTCAAGAGCCATGAAGTATGGAAGCCCTGCTACAGGAAGTTTCTGCGGCGACAGATGACCACACACCACCTGCACAACCCTGAGATGCATTCAGGTGTTTCTGTATCTAGATATGTAGTCGGAAAGGTGGTCATGCTGTACGTATACATAGAGGATTCCGTAGTACATAAAAGGCAGGGACATAGGGAGATCCTAATCCCCTTGTAGGTGTTCTAGAGGGGATAGAATAGGGAGGTGGGATGCTCTTAGGGTTTATATGTATACAAGCAGAACCGTAGTTTTGTAGCTATGTATAGGTTGTCTCCCTACTTTGATTGTTACCATACCATAACTTCTTCCCTACCTTGGCCTTCGCCTGGTGTGTGGTGTGCCGCTTCCGAATATGCCGTCTCACCTTCTACCGGGCAGTACAGGCAAGCGTATCCTGTGCGGGGTGGCAGCGGATAGGATGCATGTAGCATCAAATCGGGTCCCCTTGGCCTTTCTGGTTTGGGTTTCTACATCCGGACTTATGGTCTAGAGGGAGCTCCTAGTATAAAACCCCCCGGGTATTTGCTTGCAGGGCCCGTGTTAATTCCATCTTCGCAGGAAGCCCTTGACTGACAGGAACCAGTGCCACTGAAGGAGTTTGAAAGAAGCGGTGCCGCCACTGTAGTGGCGACGTGACATGTGCATTCTTGAGGGACATGCAGTGCAGCAGCTTTTCTGGAGTGTTTTGCAACATGTCACACTTCTGCAGTGCAGTCATGTTCTGTGAGTGCTGTCATGTTCTGTGAGTGCAGTCATGTTCTGTATTGTGCACCATGCACGAATATTGCGCCGACCCCCCCCCCCAAACCGCCAGGCCACCAAGGTTTACGATTTTCATGATTCAGCAACTTAGCAAAACACAAGCAGGGCTTCCAAAATTTCGGACCGAGCAACTTGAGAAAATGCCTTTCGGGCTCGTTCGGAACCACCGGGACACGAAAATCACGGAAAAAAATTGGCGAGAGTTTCCCCAGGGGGGTACCCCACTGTCCGAAAGGGAAA